CCTACCTACTTGCATCTCTCAGTTGGGAAAAAGCTCCTAGGTATCTGGCTGCTTTTCTTATCTATTTTTCAGAACAGTTTGATGTTGAACCTCCCATATTAAGTCCTTTAGGAATGGTCAGATCACTTGGATTCCTTCATCTTTAAAACCTGTCTGCCTATAGGACTTACCTACTATTTCCTATAATTGGTTAAGGAAGAAAGCCATTCAGTCCATTCCACTACCAATGTAGGATGCTTCCTACAATGCACTTACTGGTAGTTTACTGAGCAAGGTATTTCAATGTACTTGCACAGTACTGCAGCTTCTACTAAGCACCTTCCAAAAAGATTGGACAATCTCAACAGTGAGCATATTATTTTTATATGCAGATAACTTAAGAATATGCTTCATCTGCTAGTTTTCCCTCTCTTTATAGCACTCTAAATCATTATTCTCCCTCCCCCATATTTATCTCCAGCCTCAAATACTTTTGGTCAAAGTTCCGTAACACATGATATTAATGAATCCATACATTACTTATATATTTATGGAAGTCTACATATTCTCAGGTTAAGAGAGCTATAAAAGTATGTAGTTTTAACACTGGCAAATACCACAGAGCTCAGTTATCAAAAATGTCTAGTTTAAAACTACTTCATTATATTTATAATTGCTGTGTTTTTAAAAATCTTTAGCTTCTATATCCAACTTCTGTCAACTGTTGATTTCACTGGGCTCATTAATAAAAAAAATAAATAAAAACAACAAAAAATATTTGATGAGAACACTCCCTTTTCCTGTCCCACCAAATAGAAGGATTGTATTTGTCATACTGCCAATTTTTGTAAATGAAAGCACTCTCTCAAATCATATTGTAGCTAAATATTATCTTTTTTCAAACTGTAGTGAAAAAAGCAATTTTACCTTTTCAGTAGCTAGGGGTTTTGGAGGTTTTTCTGGTTCTCTCTCCCTTTTTTTCTCTTCTTTCTTTTTTTCCTTTTCTTTCTATAAGAGAAATAATTTAGAAATTTAAAAACATAAAAATGTAAGAAGTATACTAGTTGAAAAAGAGCAGCAGTCCAAGTGATATGAATGTAGTTTCCTGTACACATCATGCAGTCACCATTTCTAAAAGCAGGTGATTACTTAAGGATACTCCTGCTTTCTATATCAAGTAACAACATTGGACATCATCCTGAAAAACAAAGGTTAATAACTAACCAAAAATAAGTGTTATATAGATCCTGATTTGGTTACATTTATCTTATAAAAACAGAATATGGAAATTACTGGTAATATATACCGTTTAGAATATTATAAAGGCCAATATTCTAAAGCATAAAGCAATTGCTGGACTAACTAACTGGGAACAAATTCAATGCAAGGAACATTAACAAAAACTAAAAATTGTTCAAGGATATCCAAGAGCAAAATTGGATATCCCCCAATCTTCACAGGGCCATGGCAATGATATTCAGCAAACAATACACTACAGGCATCTTCAGACTTTGTTCTTGTCAAACTCACCTTCAACTCTAACTTCCCATGGCCATAAACATGGTCTTATGAACAACACGCTATGCATGAGCTAAGGCTGGGGGAACAGCACTCTACCAGATGTCCCTCAAACCAAAATACAGTTTCATAATACAGGTTTCCCTCACTTTATGTGGGTTCTTTATATGCAAGTTAGCTCCAACACAGGCTGGGGTCAGTGTAGACAAGCAGAGCCCCGGGTGGCGAGGGGCATAGCGCTCACTCCAGCCCCGGCTGCGGTGGCTCCAGGAGCCGACACCAGCTGCCTGCACCAGGGCACAGTGCAGCCCAGACATGGAGGCGAGTGGGAACAGACGGAGCACAGTGCAGCCCAGTGCCTGCTGGCTTCGGCTACTCCCAGGGCCGCTGCAGCCAGGGCTGGGGCAAGTGCCGCTCTGCTCCCTCTGCTTTGCTGCCTTGTACCTCACTCCCACCCTCAGTCATGGGAACCCATTCCTATTTGTTACATTGTAAAGTGGGTTCGCTTTATGTGAATTCGATTTACGCACTGTTCTCTGGAAACGCATGCACAGCATAAGTTGAGGGAAACTTGTACACAGGAAGTTACACCTGTCCAAGAAACCTAAACTGGTTGAAAGGGAACATGGAGGAAGCAAAAAATTCTATACATGAAATGGAAAAAGAGGAAGTAAAAGGCCATGAATACAAAATTACAAGTCAAGATATATAGGTGATTACTAAAAGATGACAAATCATTTAAAAAACCCCAACAACAAATCAGTAGAGAAAGTCTAAGACAGGGTTTCCCAAAGTTTTTATGCTGTGGCCCATCAAACAGCAGCCTGGAAGTGGCTGTAGCCCTGCAGTCGCAGCCAACTGAGGCCAACATTCCTGGCTGGAAGACTGGTAAGGTCCCCCTCAGCCCTTGGGG